CAAAAGTCAGCAATGATTTCAGTTCGGCCAAGTTTGCCTTAAACATGAAATTCAATTTGAATTAATCTTGAATTCTTAATTTAGTAAATAAACATGTAAACAGTAAAGACACTGTAAGGCCTTATATAGAAACACTATGATCAGGATGTTGTTTACTAAAGTGCAAGTTTTGGGGAATTCAAAATGAATTTCAATTATTAGGACACAACAGATGAATTGGAAAGCATCTATTCATTAAAAATATAAATTATAATCAATTAAAAATAAATAATTGTACATTTCAGCCAAAAATAAAAACTGAAACTGCTATGTTTATAAAAAAAAATGGGTTAATCCTAGCTGGACCTGGCACCCAGACCACTTCATTAAGCTGAAGTGGTCTGGGTGCCTATAGTTGTCCTTTAAAGATGAGCCTTGTGTGGCAATAAACCAAATTCACACAGCTAGATTGTATAAAATGTATCCAATATACAAATACTTTATTGGATCGAAATAGGCACAATAAGATACAAATTGGAGTAAAGCTGAGGAGTCAGGATAGTGGTAATGTATATAGCAACACCAGATGCCATCCTTGTCTGTTGGTCTCAGAATACCGATAAATATAAGATGGCTGAACTAAGCCCTTATAGTTGCTGCTGAGACCAAATGGCTGGTTAAATTAGTGGGAAAAGTTCACTAAACAGTGAGCTAGGTAACTGTATCATAGAGCAACTATAAGTACAGGAGACAAGAGGGCCAGGCAGATATAACCTGAATCTAGGAGATATTGATAAATGAAGTTACAATGGGTAGTAATATCAGTTCAAGTTGAATGAGTGCGGTAATCACTCATACCTTCTAAAGAAACATAGGAAACTTAAAGGACCACTATAGGCAATGAAGTGGTCTGGGTGCCAGGTCCCTCTAGTTTTAACCCTGCAGCTGAAAACATAGCAGTTTCAGAGAGGGTTATTCCAGCTTCTATTGTCTGTCTCACTGACAGCCGCTAGAGGTGCTTCCGCGATTCTCACTGTGAAAATCACAGTGAGAAGACGATGGACGTCCATAGGAAAGCATTGAGTAATGCTTTCCTATGGGCTGTTTGAATGTGCATGCGGCTCTTGCTGCGCATGTGCATTTGGAGCTGACGTCGGCAGGGGGAGGAGAGGTCCCCAGCGCCGAAGGAGCCCTGTGCTGGAGAAAGCTAAGTGGCTGGGGATCTAATGACCCTATAGTGCCAGGAAAACAAGTTTGTTTTCCTGGCACTATAGTGGTCCTTTAAGAAGCTTTTCCTCTTCTGATGGATAATAAAAACCACTTTGGCATAGTTTAGTGGGAAAATGGAGAGGCAAACATCCATGCAGAGCAAATGTATCTCATAGGTACTAAATGCCCCCACTACTAGTCCCTAAATCTCCTAACCCTAAATCTCCTAACCCTAAATCTCTTAAGAAACACCTTTGTGGGTGTTCTATGCTAATACCTTTTCTAGCTGTGCTGTGGAAATTTGGTTTATTGCCACACAAGGCTTATCTTTAAGCATGTTATTTAGCTGTTAATATAATCCCTCCCCCCTCTTTATATACCAGTATAGAGTTCCTCCCCTCTCTTTATATACCAGTATAAAGTCGCCCCCCCTAACCTCCAATACTCTCCCTTTGTTTGTACGTATCGCATTTTATGGACCAAGCCCTTTGGTGGATCTGGTACCACCACATTGACCTCTATGTCCCCAACCCATTGAGTTTGGATTGGTTGACATAGTTTGTTCTCTGGATTCTATCTTTCTACATTACCCACATTGTTTATGTATTATTTATTTTACATACTATTCCGAGAAAACATTACACGTGTTTTCAAGGAAACTGCCCTAGCTAGTTTTGTTCTTAGTCCCAATAACCTTCCCAGCACTAACAGAGAAACTGATACCGATTGTGTGAGATTATCAGCAACTACATTCTGTAATCATATTAAAGGAATGCTCTCAAACATGTGTCCCTACTGTTAAAGTCTTATACCACCTATTTGGATTATTTGGATTATTGCCCCAGCCGCCACTCCTTCTCTGGCTGAGATCATCAATACTGATGATCTCAGCCAATCCCTTGCTTTCCCACATGCACTGCAATCATGCCAATCAGCATCCTCACATAGATGCTTTGAATCAGTGCATCTCTATGGAGAGTGTTGGACGATTCCTTGCAATTCAGTGGAAGCACAGAATGTCAATGCTGCACTCTTTGCAGGACCAAACCCAGGAGAGTGCCTTTAGTGGCTCATAGATAGATAGATAGATAGATAGATATCATTTGAGTAGAGCAGTAAAACCTGGGAAAGCTGGATTTGAATCGCAATCAAACCACCTTACCTTGGGAAAGACGCCTAACAATATATATATCCACTTACCTCAAATCTTCACAGATGGTAAACGTGTGTGATCATGGCAAGGTCATGATGCATATTCTGTATCTCCAGCATAACAAAGAGAAATAGAGCATAATCATTAGCAAAGACTTGGAGGCTTAAAAGCACCCTCAAAAGCCTTCATCTGCATACATTCATGGATGGTGTGTTTCTGGAGATTAACAGGGCAGGCTCCCTAACAGTCCCAATTTCCTGACATAATTTAGATTCCTACTGTCATCTGGGGACACCAGTCAACTGCCCTGGGCAGCACATAAGATGTTCTCGTGCTGTGAATGGACACTAGAACCCTGCAGAAAGTGCTTCAATAGTGCTCTCTACAAGGTCCTGCAAGCTCGGAGCCAAACAGGGCCCTTCAGTGGTGTAGTCTTTTACGGCTATCCACCTATCACAATCTGCATTTCTTAGAATGTTGGGAGGTATTGAGTGTGCCAGAGCGAGCACAACTATAGCCGGGCTTCAAAAGAGCACATCACACAGCATGAGATGAGCATGAGATTCAGCAAAGAAACTTATTATGGGTTCACTTGTGGTCAAACATTTGCCAATATCAAACATTTCTGGACACCCTACATTTCATTGATTTAAATCATATGAAGTGTGTAAGTTTTCAAAATATATCCGTGGCCATGTGCACCACATAGATAGCCCAAGAGTAAGGCAATACAGAATATTATAGTGGCGGCTTGTATTCCTAGAATGGAAAATAAAATTGTGGATCAGTACACGTGAGGAAATTCCTATGTTTGTATATGGGTATATCCAAAGGGGTGAACTGTAGTGAATTTAAAACCTGATTGTAAAAGAGGTGAGAGGTGTTTGCCAGTGGCTGTAGGGGGGATGAAACAGTGAAACCATGGATTTCTGTGAATGTTCCTCCATACTATGCAGATCTTAATGATGAAGATCACAGGGATATATTATTATTTTATTATTTATCTAGCACCAGCAAATTCCGTAGTGCTGTATATGATTGCACGCCTCGGACAACCAGGATTCCTTATCTGTCAGATCTATACCTATATAAATAGGTAGGTTGGATCGTTTACACTGAGGTCTATGAGTGTTGTGCACAAAAAAAAAATGCTATTAATTTGCACTAACCCATATGCCAAAAGGTGCCTGTCCCCCCCGTACTAGTGTTAGGGAGTAGCAGCTGGTTACCAACTCCAAAATTAGAACAGTATTGACAGCGAGTTACAAGAGGCCACTACTGAAAAATATTGCCCAAGTAGTGGCTAAAGGTTCCAATAATTTTTTTAGCGTCTGCTTTCCAACTGGTTCCCAGCCTTGTCTCTATACATCACCAGCTCCCATTAACCAAAATAAGTTAACAGCAGCGTCTGGCCTAGTGTAAAGGTATGACAGATAAATCCCTGTATATACTATTAAACAAAAAAATGGTTCCAGTTCTCTTTTAGAGGCCAATCACTACTTGCTTGTTGCTGCTTGCCACACAGGGTACATTACGCATGCTCAGATCGGTGTTCCTGTACTTTGCCAGTAAGTTGCTAATATGTGAATGGTTGGTATCTGAATTGATAGCTATAGCAATAAACTGTAAGCTATTTCATTGGCAGCTTATGACAGCTATTTACAACAAAGGTTGTAATCGAGCTCATAGATTATCTCTAGATTCTTGAAAAAGCATTCCTTCCAACATTCCAAATCACAAAATATGGATACGTTTATTTTCAGGAGTGTGACTTTACGTGTGACTAAGGTACCAATATACAAGGTCAAAGTATGTTATTTACACACATTTATGGTATGTTAGAGTGTGTGAGGTTTATTGCTGTTAAACTTTGTTAATACAATCAAGCACACTAAATATCTAAAACGTTCCAGGAAAAGATAGACAGTAGGAGGGAAAAGAGGGATAAAGGTAGGTGGGCACATAATAACTATTTCCCCACTAAAGATGGGCACTTGCGAGACATCAAAAGGTGAATTCAGGTTTTGATGAAATGTCAACTTCATATAACTTTAAAATGTTAATTAAAATGGAAACTGTGACATCATCTTCAGATCACATATACGACTGCTGAATTTATTTACTGCCACAGACTACCATGCTCTCTGGATGCATGGTATGCATATACCCTCTGTCTAGACCTGACCACAACATACCGTTGTAGTGGTCATACTGTTTGGCTGTGGGTGAAACCCTTGGTTTTCGGTTAAAACTTTTTCACTGACATGCTTAGCTTATTGCCACTGTCTATTATGGACCAGACTGGTAGCATTCTAACCGCTACAATGGCCACTCTGAGGCCTTTAAAGCATCTGACTGGATGCCATTTTTATTTATTTAAAGAAACACTATACACAAACATGTATTTGTATCACTATAGCTCTAAAAATACCATTTAGTCCCCCGGCCTCCCTGTAACCTATGTAAAAGGTGATATTATTCACCTTTATTCCAGCGCCATGGGGTCCGCCTGTGCTGGCTACTTGGTTGAAATAATCAAAACTGATGATTTCAGCCAAAACAATTGCGAATGCACATCAAAACACCATGCTGGACAATCAGCATCTCCTCATAGAGATGCATTGAATCAATGCATCTCTATGGGGAGCATTCAGAGTCTCCATGCTGTGCGTTGTGCATCACTGAGTGACCGAGTGACCGTCTGAGTGACTGCCACTGAAGGTGTCCCTAAGCAGTAATATAAACACTGCCTTTGCAGAGAAAAGGCAGTGTTTACATGAAAATGCCTGCAGGGACTGACTATACTCGCCGGAACAACTACATTAAGCTGTAGTTGTTCTGGTGACTATAGTGTCCCTTTAACACTAACTAGGTTAATTTAGCAATAGGAGGGCACAGCTTGTACCAGACATGATGACTCATTTTTCCTGAAGCTAAGTGAAACTCTAATAAACAGAGCAAAATAAGCCAAACTTGCACTCATAGAGTTCCATACATTTATACGAAGTGGAAAATGTGTCTCTTGCTACTGAATAAGTCTTTATATGAACCTATCCAGTACTGTCGGCAACATTATTGCAAAAGTTTGCCAACGATTTATGGAAATGTTAAACAGAACAGAAAAAGTACTAGCTATAAGTTACATAAAACTAGCACTTTTTTATGGTTTTTCCATTAAGACAATGAGGTTTGTTTTCTAAACCTGGATTCTGAAAAATTAACCAGGGAAATCCTAAATGTTAGGCAAAAAATAGCTCAGCAAGAACAATAATTGATTTGGATTATTTTTGGAGAGTATTTATGCAGCATGGTATCTGTTCAATATTATTCAAACATATGCATAAATGTTTTAAGCAAAAATCCAATAAGGTAATAGTATACATGCATTACTATTAATTTCTGGTTGCAGTTTGTCTGAGATAACTGTACAGAGAGTTTGCTACTTTTGACAACCACTAATGTGGACCTTTTGGTGACTTCACAGTACATCTCAACACTTGTGGATCTGGTGGGACCATTCCAATTTTGGTGTCCTATCCCGCTGCAGTGGATCAGTTTGCTCGTGCCCCCACAATGCAAGCATTGTTTTTCTTGCACCTACACTTTATTATTTAATTTTTTTATTATTTTAAAAGCTGTAACTTACAAGACCACTCTAGCTACCATAACAACTTTATCTCAATGAATAAATAGTACAACAACAGTGGAAAGGCCAAAATTGTCAATCCACTGGAGTTGTTGTTGGTTGAAGGGTATCAGGGCATAACCCAAAATAACAATAACAAAAGAAGAGACTGAAATGGGTTAACTAAAACAGTGCACCCAAAATCAGAATCTAAAAATTAAATGGATCTGCTCCGCCAATTCATTGCAAAAAGTTGCCAATAATGGAGCGTAAAGAGAACTAATTACAGTATATATAAATCTTTATTAGTCCCTCTTTAGGGAAATAAAACTAAAATAAATGAAGTGAAAAAAGGTGTGTGTACAGTGACCAAATTATAAAAATAGGATCATCAATTAATCTATCCAAACACAGTATGAATGTCTCTTGGCTACTATTAGAGTTAAAATATTAACAATAGCTTATTGTGAATAGCTTCCAAATGACACGTTGTCCGCAGTCAGCTAGACATACTAAGGAGTGCATATCTCCTAGCTAATGTTGAAACAACTAAGAAGGACTGTTACAAACAGCTTATGAGCGGACACAGTATCTTTAGTCGACTATACAAAGTGTGGGCTAAAAAAGAATAAGAATGTATCCCCTGAGATAAAGACTGTTCACGTGAACCTTAATTGAGCGATGTGCTTACAATTGCACATATATTGCTACTAACTAGAGTTGTCCATAATAGTTACAGTCAAAATAATACCAGGGGTGGTAGGGGATATTATTAACAACCAAGGCAATAGGTTGCAGAAGATATATAGGAGTATATGGGGAGCAGTATAAGCCGAACTAGTAGTGTAATCTCAATAATAGTCGGTGGATAACACTGTCCCCCCAATTAAAATACTCCAACTGGTCCCCAAATGCAATAAGGGTATAGGAGTACTGAGGGGAAGGTAGAGAGTAAACGGCAGTGTAGACCGCATTAATGATATAATCGGAATGTTAGCCTATAAACCTCTTACCACCCCAGTTCACTCAATCTAATCCCCAATGCCACGGTTGATAAAATAATATACGAAGGGAACGTGGGGTGATTAAATTAGTGTGGCCGGACAGAGCTCAGGAATCTCAAGTGCTCGCTTGGCTTGTACAAAACCCCCCCCAAAAAGACGAGCATCTTAAATGCTCTTACTCAATCCCCATAATGCATTCGTATGAATAGATCCTAAAGGAACTAAAGACTTGTTAACAGTAAGAAGTCGTCTTTGCACGGCATACTGAGGATGGCAACAAAAATCTCCCTACAAGTAAGGTATCTCAGATTCTCAAACGAGCGGCTAGCCGGTTAAATAAAAAGTAAGAACAAGCTCTAGTAACTCAAAGATAAATAAAACCCCAATCACCTTCTTACCTGCGAATGTGAATGTAAATATGTAGGCAAAACTTTCCACCCTTTCAAAGAAAGGATCAAAGAACATGTCCGTTCACCTAAACTGAGTGTTGAAACTCCTATTGCCCGCCACCTGAAGGAACACTATTCAGGTAAATCACACGGCTTACGATTCTGTGGGTTAGAACTTGTAAAACGGGACAAAAGAAGAGGTGACTATGACAGGTTCTTAAGACAACGTGAAAGTTTTTGGATTTACAGGCTTAAGACCCTACAACCTAAAGGATTGAATGAAGGGTTCTCGTTTGCACCATTTATTTAGTTTATACCAACTTCCTTAGCAGCGTCAAGTTTAGTACTTATTTGCCGAAATAGGGGTTTGTGATAAATTAACGAGCTGCTCTGTTTACATGGGTCTGAGTTTCTACTACACAATGTGTCTGAATTGTAGAGTGAGACTTGGACTCAATACACAGCAGCAGAATGGAACACTATAATTATAACAATAAGTCTACCATATTCCCTTTTTCCTGTATAATATGCTCAGACACTGGCTATTACATTAACTTTATATATCTGTAAACTTGCATATTATTTGAGTATAGACATCTTTTGTTCAGACAAATATGTTTTTCTTAAGAACTGTATACATTTACTTTAAATTTCCCATCTAGGGACACTTGGAGCTACTGGCATGGAAGGAGTTAATTCCCCCATGCCGATAATACTGGCTGGCTGTCACTCACTTCTCTGGCCCTGCCCATAATTTGGGCAGTCTGACACATATCTTGACGTCATGTTTCTCGATGGGCTGGCTTATGACGGTTTTAAAAGAGGCGCCAACCTCATAGTCGGTTAACTCTTGACAAAGGTGCATGTGTAGCGGTACTTACCTTATCCGGGGGCCGGCCGGGGTCCTCTATTCCCGTGCGCGGCTCGTTCACCATTCCGACGAAGGCGGGGACTGACCGCGAGATGCGGTCACGTGTTCCGGCTAGCTCTAAGAGCACGCCGCACATCTCGGGCATGCTCTTAAAGGGACAGTGGGAGCCGAAATGTAAAACGGCCCCTGTCATTGGCCCCTGTCATCCCACATTCCCATACACTAACATTTTGGGGGCGTGGATATGACAGGGGCCAATCAAATTAAATACTAAGATATTTATACTTACCTCTCCCTTAACTCCCTGCCCTATCGTGGTTTCTGTTTCAGTTCCCTTTAGCGCTTGTTGTGTTCAGTTGTGACTTTTTGTGCTTGACCTTGGCTTTGTATTTGACTCAGTTTTTCTCTTTATCCCTGTTTGTCTTGTTTGCCGGCTTACTGATACCTGTGTACCAGTCCTTGGCTAGTTCTTGTTTTCGCTGTCTCTTTGTCCACTTGACCTCAGCTCATTCCTGAGTCTGTCTATTCTCTGTTCTACGTTGAGTCCGGCCATTCTAAGGTCCGGTAAGACATATCTGTCTTATATTGTCAATTGTTGGACTAAATCTTGCATGTTGGGGAAAGCATTTAATTCATTTATTTTTTATGAACTTCATTTGATGACGTTTGACGTCATGAACATCAAACATCACATGACTGAGTTTCACTCAGTTGTTGCAGTGGATGTGACTCTAGTGGCTGCTAGTGTGACAGCCACTAAAGGTGTAGTTAACCCTACAAAATAAACATTGTTGTTTCTACAAAACAACACTGTGTTACATTGAAGAGTTAAAACCACAAAGCCACTGCACCCAGACTAGTCTATAAGATGAATTTAAGGGTATCTTTCTCTTTTCCAAGTAAAAGTCCCCCTCTTTCTTTCCTTTAGGTTGAGTTTCCTCATCCAACTCTCTCTCAAGTTAAACTCCCACCCAGTGGTGGCATCTGGTGCGGTTACGCATTATGTTACACCTCCATGGACCTCCTCCAATACCAGACAGAATCCTTTGTAATGTTTTTTGAACTAAAGTTACAAATCGTAATTCACATATAAGTCACTGAATGTATAGGCACTAGTAGAGTGTGTTTGCAAGGAATCCAGTGTGGGAGCATTTAATTTGCATTACTATACAAAATATATATGTTATTATTATTAAACAAAATTAAAGTCCCCCCCCACTCTTATTACTTTAAGCCAGGGAGATGGTCCATTGTGGAGAGCTTCTGCTGGGTACCCTCTGCCTGGTTCAAACCTGGTGTAATGGCTCTCACTAGCTCCACACTCATAGTCACAGAGCTTTGCCGTACTAAACCGCAGCAACGCCCTGAGTGGTCCAGAACTCGCAGGAGCCATTCCACCTATCTGCCATTCCACCTATCTGCATCTATCTGGACTCCTCTCCCTCCTAGAGCTCTGTACTGCCCTTTCTACCTAGTCTGCTCCACGAGTCTCAGCAGCTTCCAACCAAAACTCTCATTGCAGACTGGGAACGAAGAAGAGTACAGAACTTGAGATCCTGAGCTCCAGGCTGCCTGTGGGGCTAAGAGGCTAAGGCACTGGGTGTCACCACCCCCACCCCCTGCTATGGTGTCATCCTGACCCGTTTTAGAGGCTGAGCTCGCTCCACTCTCCTCTTTCTTTCAGGGTGAGCTTTATTCCCTCTCTCTGTCAGATTGACCACCATCCTCTCTCACCTTCATTATGCGCTCCCTCATCCCTTAGCCTGAACTCTATAAAATAAGGATGTCGGTCTTTTAAGGGGTCATGTGGCATATCTCATGTTATGACGTGGAGTGATGGAGTTGGCTGCAGATTGGCCTGTGTGTTCATTTTTTCCAAGAGAAAAATATAGCAAGCGCTCCACTGTTGGAGTTATTTAGTGGAGCATGCACATAATGTGTTTAAGGTGCTAAACAGGAAAAAAGCCGGTTACCACACCAGGACAAATAACACCCATTACAAGAAACCCATAGCACACCAAGTTATACAAAATATAGATTTTATTCACATGACATATAGTCTACAATACATCATATGTAAAGTGCATGACATTAACATTAATACACGAAAACCACAGATAAATAAGTTC